CTAGATACCTTCAAACTTAGTAAGCTGGCGACGACTGTTGTACTTAATTGCTTCGTGTAAAAATGATATATAGCGAAGGCTCTTATATGACTCCCAGGGCTGTGTTTATAGATAGCAATATGAGTATCATAATTACTTTTAATGGGATAATTTTTTCCACAAAAATTAATTTTCTGCAATTATTATTATTGAATTACTCACTTTATTGCACAACCATTACTTTTGGTGAGGTTAGGTTGGATTGGTGGCCTTGTTTACCAAGAAAGCCCACTTGAGCTCAACTAATGGTTTGTTGTGATACCACAGGAATAGCGTTGGTTCGTACATAGACAAGATGATCAGTATACGACCAACGCCGTAACCATTAATTTGGTCATTTGAAAATACGTCTATTTAATTAGAAAACCACATATTTTCATATTCAAAACATAATTCTACTTGAACAGAGATTTCAATAAATAACCCTAATAACCCATATTTAAAATTGATAATATTCAGTTAAACCTGTGCCGAATTAAGCTGTATGTGCTTTTGATTGTTGAGAGTTAATCATCTTCCATACATCTACCATACATTCGTCTTCTTTTATTATAAAGTTTAATATAAAGTTCAGGCACATCACTCAATAGATTAGTGGGATGAATAATAAAGCAAAAAGTTTTAATTGAAATTTGACTTCATGCACCTAAATACTTCCTTAATATTTCGACGTCCTGCATGTAGAACGATTTTTCTAGGGGCTCAAAATTTTGTCCACTTTTAACAATAACTTTTTCATTGATAACCGAATATCTTTCTCTTCAGCATTCTTTAAATAATTGCCATCAAATAGCTTTTGCTGGGAATCAGTTCCGTAGAATACAGTGAATGACGGGAACAAATTTAAATTGCGTTTTGTGCATTTTGTCTATCCATAACTAACGACATGTGACATCATGCATTTCCTTAGTAAAGAACAGTCTTCTCTTCCTCAGTTGAATCAAACTTTTTTTGCAATATTTTCATTCAAACGCTCCAATAATTCCATATAGTCGCTAATGATTGTTCTAGCTTTCCAAAATATTCGACACATTCGATAATAATCAATACTGTGCGTATCTCAAAATATGGGAACGAAGTCTTAACAATTTATATTTTCATTTTTAAAAATATGAAAAACCTTGTGCTGTTTTGGGAAGCTATTTAGATATCAAGAAGATATGAACAAAAATCCGCGATCAAATACAGTAACAATTGCCGAAGAACTTTCTCAAGAGCCTTATAAAGCAGTAGGTGCCTCAATCATTCGACAAACGCCCAATGACAATGGCTTGTATGAAAGAGTGTCTAGACAAAAACCATGCCTTTCTGAGATCAATCATATTAAACACAGAATATTTGCTAAAACCCACCTTTATGCATCACTTGCATTCTGGAATAACGTCATTTTATGTCATAAAAGTTTGAGGTTTTCGGATCAAACAGGATCCGAAAAAACTCCGTTCCCCTCTCAAACACGACGGTAATACAGTGATGGTTTGGGAATGCATATCAGCTATGGTGACGGGAAATCTCGCTTTTATTTAGTCGTCAATGAATAGCAGAGATTATCTGTAAATATTGAAGGATAATCCGAAACAAAGTGCAGAAATTTTAAACATTATAGCACCATGGGTCTTTCAACAAGACAATGACCCCAAGCACACCGCTAAGATTGTAAAAGAGTGACAGTCATATAACGTACCAAAACAGTTAAATTCTTCTCCTCAGTCTCCAGAACTTAACCCCATTGAACATTTATGGGCGGAACTGGACAGAAACATACGATAACCTTCGGATTCATCGAAACAAGATTTATGAACGATTTTGACCAAAAAATGGGACAAAATATCGCCTATCACCCAATACCTTGTTCAGTCGATGCAGAGGCGCTTAAAATCTGTTACCAAAGCGGAAGGCAGGCCAAAAAAGTATTAAATTTCTGTAGTCTATAATTAGAAGTAATATTATTTGTAATTCTCATATCAATGGGGACCAACTTTTGATTGCATAGTTCAGGTCGCTTTTCCTACTTTTTTTCTACTTAGAACAACATAAGCAATTAGGTGCTGTATACTTATTTTTGACTGCGACTGTATATATAGATATTTTAAACAACATTTTTGCTGACGCAATATACCAATAAAGTTTGATTTTGTTACTTATCTCTTGTGTAGTCATTGTAATCATTTTACAACATTAAACCTCGATATCTGGAGAAGTAAGCGATATAGCTTAGAGAAAGAAGTTGCTCAAAATAGCTGTATTTAGTGAAATCCATTATCGAGTTTGAGTGCCTAGAAAACCGGAATCGCAAAACGAACATAAGTAAAAATATCGTAACAACGAACTCAATGTCAAAATTTTCTCAAGCCTTTTAAAAGAGGTTACCTCTTTCGACGGCACGAGTGGCACAAATTTATTACTGCTGAACTCCGGTATGCGTGCAAATTAATGCTAAAATTCTTCTTAACTAATAAAAAAAGCAATAAAAATAATAGTGACAGCATCAACTTAATAAGAAGAATAAACAGAAATCGTAGCAGGAAGTGCTGTCTTTCCTCATCCATTGCACAGTACAGGCTTCTCTTTTTCAAAATTTTTCCATCAAATAACGAATAAAATAAGAGTAACGTTTGCCACATGTACCTGTAAGGAAATCCATAAAACAAACTCATCCCCCTTCTGTGAAGAGAATCGTCGGATTCTATAAGACATTCGGCAAAAAGATGCAAGTGGGTTTGTAGGTTGTCTTTCATATTTTCAAGCTAACGTTACATGACACAAAAGTGCGAGTATCTTAAATAATTTATTACTCACATTCACTGACTGAGTACATTAAATAAAAATTTATACTTTAGCCAAATACGACAGCGAATGTATTTGCGTATTTGCACAGCGCGTGTTATGTCGGATGAGATGCACAAGGGTCAGGTGCGCCCAAGATACTCCTACCATTGGGCTGTGATGAAATATTGTTAATGCTGGCACTTGTGTAATTTGAGTCATGTTAATAACGCATTTGTTATCACACAACTTCTTGACTTACTCTGAAATTTGAACTTTGCTCTTTGTCAATGTCATCGTCCACGGAAGAAAAAATTGAAAATGGAAATGGAAATGGAAGTATTCAGCAGCTATTACAAGTTTTTGCTCTTATATACATGATAACGCAGGGTTACGCATCTTTTAAATACCAATAAATTATCTCTGTAACATATATCAAAAAATAAAGTAGCTACCCAAGGAATAAAAAATACCTTCACTTTCGGTAGGGGCTGTGTTGTGTAAGGGTTGTGTGTACTGAAATGGTTAGCTAATCAATATTCATGCCAGTGTAGGACCTAATAATTATGATTAAAAATATCTGAAGTTATAAGAAGGAATAATTCGTTATTCGTTATTATTATTATTGAATATGTTGTAGAATATAAAAAGGCTACAAAAAATTATCACACAATAAATTAATTAATTCTTCAAAAACATAAAAGAGATGAAAGAATGAAGAATATATATGCAATATAAAATCAAAAATCTGAAAATATGCGGGCATTATCTTAGACCAGTGGTTCCTAACCGGTGGTCCGCGAAGCACAAGTGATCCGCGAGATGGTTAAAAATGGTCCGTGAATTAAATTTAACAACTACGGACGCATAACTTGTAGTCTGTCCACTAAGACCACACTTATTAGAAAATAAGCACAAAAAATTTCCAAGTAATTATATACCTATTTTATAGCCTATACAATGTAAATATTGTTATTGTTAGGGAATGTGGCACTGCGACCGTCGGGTATATTGTGCCTTCTTCTGGGTTTAGAGTAGGTATCTAACCCCTGTTGCGTAGTACAGAACCAACTTTGCGAAGCTTTATTGCCTTTTTCGTAAGAATAAACATTCCCAGGAGTCTATTCCGTATCTGCATTAGAGCAGGACATTCTAACAGCACATGTGTGACCAACTCCTCATTCTCATTCTCTTCACAGTATCTACAGTTTGCATTCGTAAGTATACCTAGTTTTGTATGGTGGTATTTTAATTTAGGTTGGGAACCACTGTCTTAGACATGAAGACCTTATTTTGTTTCAAAGAAGTCAATTTATATTAAAATCATTGACATTCATATCAATATCAAAGTCCAACTTAGGATAGAAACTAAAATCACACTAAATCGATAACCCTGTTTATATGCTTACAATTTTTACAATTTCCACATATTCTATATCCTTATATAGTACTGCTTCAAGCGATTCAATCTGTCAAAATTGTGAAATATTAAATTTAATCATTTGTAAATGAATTTAATATAAAGTTTTGCTCAACACATAACGATTATATAAGTGTTTTATATATAGCAAAGGTATTATCACCATTTAAAAACGGCTAGAAAGTTCGGCTTTGCCCAAATATAAATAGCTTTTCGCACAAAGTTACTGGGAAATTGATAGTAACTGGGAAATTGATGGAACTAGGTCTGTAGGTGTGAAAGTTATGGTTTCTTGCGTTGTAGTAGATTAAAAAATGGACAATCACATTCAAAGAAAAACATTTTCGATATTTATGAAACTCATTATTAACTTAGCTACTTACTTCATTGAAAGTCTGAAAATGAGATGTGATAATGCTGAAGATAATTATAACTAGGCCAGATGCCATGTTCTTGGAAGGCACTGTCAACAACCTAATCTAACTCGAACGAATTCCACTCTGACCACTCTGAAAGTTTAGACCCTAATCAGAGATATAGAATAGGCTTTAATTTTTCTCTCAATGTAGGCAAGGATACTGTTGGGTTTTCCCTCATTACTTTCGAGTGTTCATTACTCAATGAATACATTCTTTATATAACTGTTGGGTTGATAGTTGTGGAAATCAAAAATCATTCACATTTCTATGTGCTCATATTAAAAACATATATTTCGCTACAAAATATAATACAAAAAATTTGTTAGCTTTTAATTATAAAAGAACGATGAGCACATATAAAATATTATCATACAATGTCTTTTTCTTTAAATAAAAATAAAAGTTGAGAACATTGAATTTTTTTCTTAAAGTTTAGGTATAACGCCTGGTAATACTGTTCCATTTTCGGTCGCATAAAGAATGGATTGAATCTTTTTACATAGTTCATGATCGACTTCTTGATTTTCAGCTAAGAACTTTTCTATTAAATGTAAGCGAGAATAATTCAAGTTCCGTTTAAACTCAATGCCTTGATATAGCTCGCAACACCAGTCAGCTTGAGCATCGAGTTGTTTTATTTTATCCAAGTTTATGCAATCGCTCAACGCAGGTAATCTCTGAGTGTCTGAATCGTGGTTCAAATCAGCAGTAAGATTAACGTTGCCTTCATTGGCCTTCATGGGCTTACATTTTGAAACTTCTAAATCATTAGTTATAACCTACAATTACACATTTTTTAATATATTACTAAACTTAAGAATTTTTTACGACTTACCTTATTTAATATTGCACCATTATTTTTGATTCTATAATAACAAGGCTGGTCTGCTTTACCTTTTATGTCATTTTTTTCATTAAAACTAGTTTCTGTCCCTAGGTCTCCAGGTCTACCACATTTGTCTTCATGCTTCCTATTAAAGGATTTGCTTTCACTTGTCACATTTTCGCCTCTACATGGATTAGTAAATAAGTCTGCATTTTTTGTATTGCCTTTTCCGTTGGTTAAAGTCTCTTCCATATTTTCTATAAACAAATTACCAGATTGTGCGGCTTTATCTATGGTGTGATTTCGATGGTCGGATATATCGGTAGAACAAAACTGAGCAAAGTCATTTGCCTTTGGTGTTGCTATATTTTTATTAGTCGATGTTGTACACAATTTATTTTTTCCAATAGGTTCAGTATGCTTTTGTTTCTTCATTATCGTAGTTCTTCCTGTTTGTAAGGTCACGGATTCCTTGACTTTAAAGTGATCATTGCATACTGATCTTTCGTTTAGATCGTTTTTGCCATTAATAAATGAGTCCTCATAATAAACTGGTGCTTTCCTTGAGTCATACTGTTTGTTATTTATAGTATCTGGTTTCTGGCTTTCCAAATTATCAGCTTCCGCTGTTATCATGGTAATGTGATTTTTTTTATTGTCTATAGTGTTAATCATAGAAAAATCAATGAAGGGTAGTGACAATTTCTCTTGATTATTTTTAAATACAACAGTGGTTGGGGGTACGGGGTTAGAATCGTTTTTGTCTTTACTTTCTTCACTACCGCACTTTATTTCATAAAAATCGTCATTTACAGGTACGTCCCCATAACTGTTCTGAAGATTGAAGGTTTTGGTATTTGCATTATCAGAATAAGTCATAAATGCTGCATTTTGTGCCTCGGTTACATTTGTATTTTTGTAAGAATTACCACGAGTAAGAATGCATTGATGGTTTTCGAATTTGTCGATATCGTTCTGAAACGGTTCAGTTTGCAGATTCGAGTTTCTAAATTGAATTTGCTTAACTTTAGACGCTACCTGAGTTTCAGCAAGATCTTTACCAGGCGGGTCTTGTGATCCACAACTGTTTATATTACATAACTTGTTCTTATTGATATTTAAATTCCTTGGTTGATAAGAACCAGGAACATTATCATTATCTAAAAATTCAGTTTCCGTTGCTGCATTTCTAGTTTTCTTCTCAAATTCATGTAAGGGATCAAACAATTGTAAAATGTCTGTTCCAATTCTTCGAACATCAATAACTTCAGCTGTTTTCATATCGAGTATCTCGGGCTTTAACCTCTCCAATTTGCTTAGTGCCACAATATTGTTTATTTCAGCTTGCAACAGCACCTTTGCTATTTCAGTGTGCACACTATTTAGTGTATCAGTATGGTCAATCGTTATCGGATCAGTTTGCTGTGCCACATTAATAAACTGTTTTTCCACATTACGTAGCTGACTGGATTTCTTAACATTCATAAGGTCAGCATTGTGCGGTGCATTTGTGTTTACATTTGTTTTGTGTGTACCATTTATGAGATCAAGTTCTTCGTCTCCCACTAAACCAGTTTTTTTTGCTGTCAGCGTGAAGTCCGTTTCTTTAACATTATCACCATTTCCCTTTCTTTCATAAACCACAGGTAAGGGTTTATGCGCTTCCTCTTTATGTTCACTTTTATATATACCTGAACTGTTGATGTCATACAAAGGACTTGCAGATAATACCATTGATATTTCTTCATTACGAAGCTGAACATTTTTAATTTTTTGAGTTACAGTGCATTGTGGTACCTTAGTTTGCTTATTTTGTGTTGCCTTATATTCGTTTTCCATAATATCTTCTTCATCTGTACGTTCATCTTTCTCGACTTCAGCATCTTCTTTTGTATTTAATTGTCCAAATGAACGTTCTTGCGAATCAACACTCCGAAAAAGTTTTCCTGGTTCGCAATTTGTCTCATAAAACATTTTGAACCATTTAAGGAAGGCGAAGTTCGCCTGGAAACGACCAATTATTAATTCGTCTATGGGCACAACTGTTTTTACTTCTAGAGATTGAAAGCTTTGTTGCAGCACTTTAAAGTTATTAATATAGTGCGTTACGAACTTGCTTGGATGTTTGACTTTCTGTAGTGGGACTGCACCCGGAAAGATCTGATTCAACAATAAACAATAGCAAGCACCGGTACACATTTCCTCGACTTTTCTCAATTTGGTACCGAGCAAATCGTTGACCCACTTTAGAAGCTCTAACCGTGGTATTGGTTTATCGTTTATGCCAGTTAAAACCACATTCTTGGCTCTCTGCATGTGAATAAAGTCTTAAAATGTAAAAGATAAAAGTTAGTATATTCAAGAAAGTTATTTCTTAAAGTTTAACTTAATTCATGGTAATAATAAAACAAGGAATTCTATAGGAAGACCACTTTTTCGTGTTTATTGTTTCATCTTCTTTTTTTTCGAAACGATATTTCATGTAAAATAATTTCAATTAATGGTCTACTAACTATACGTGTATTTAATATATATTGAAATAAATTAAAGAAACTTTTTAATGTGGAGTCTGCCGTAAACCAGCCTTTAAATCTAATATAAGTTATTGAAAAATATTGACAGATATATTATTAAGCCCGTCAGTTTTTTTTTTAAATTTCCGTTTTTATTTAACTAAAAATAATATATAATATTTACACCTTATCAGTTTCCATTACACTAGCCATTAATCAACAGTTCTTAGTATCAATAGATCAGAAAATTGTATCCATCATTATTAAACCACAGAACCTTTCTAATAAATCCTTATCTATATCAATAAAAAATTGACTAAAAATTTGAATTAAATTCTTAAAAACTTCTAATACAAAACTAAAACGGAGAAAATTAATATTCGTATTTTCCTAAGAACTTCAGTTAAAACTAACAAATGGTTTTTCTATAATTTTGAGGCGCAGGGGTATACTCTTCAGTACAACTCTGTGGATAGCATATAAAGGATCACTAAACACTATATATAGTTTTCATGTGTTGCCTTTCATGTCTGTTAGTAAAGTTTGAAACAAATTTAATTGTTAGAGAAGTGAAAGACGGCCAACTTTAACATTCTTATCCATAGCATGCGAATATTAGCTAAAATTATATATCTATGAGATCATATGAGATCTTAAAGCAATTTATTTTCAGGAAGCGTAAATCAATCTTTCTACATTCCTACTACTTAACCATACTTACCTTTCTTCGATAAATTCATTGTTTCCTCCTTTAACAAACTTGAATTCCCTTAAATTAAAAAATTATTTTAATAATTTTAAAATTAAAATAAGAACTAAATATAATAATTATGTGTCCTTATAAGAGGAATAAAAATTCCCTTATGGTAATTTTAGTATAAAAAAAAAATTATTAATAAAATAAGTAAAAAAATACTAAAACGTACAAGAGATACTTCAAAAAAAAAAAAGTGTAATATCTAAATTTTATTATTTTATTTTATAAATTATTAAAAAATTATATGACATATTGAATAACTGACATAGTCGCACCAACACGTGCCAATTCATTAGCAGTGGTAGTCGCTAAGTCGTGGTATCCCGACTATGGATACATTGTTATGATTACTGATCTCTTTCAGAGATGAAACACATTATTGAACGTTGTTCGAGTTCATATGTGGAGTGTGTAAGGTTTCGATAGCTGCTTGACTATCTATAAAGAATCATATAAAAGTTTCTGATAGAAGTCTTCCTAAAAGTATATCAAAATGGGATTACTTAAATTCTAGCAGCTCAAAAATGCACTTGAAAAATCTTGTTTTCTGTGTGACATTTAACTCATTTATTAGTAAATTTAGAACCCAATTTTCCAAATTCAATTTTTTTTATCTATGTTGGAGCTCTCTCTGTAAATCTTATATTGATTATGAAATTCGGAAGGGTTAATTTGTTAATGCATATTATATGAACCAATTATAATATAATTATAATAGTATTATAATAATATACATAATTATGTTCCATGGTACATTAGGACGAATGACATCCTCAGGCACATCAAGATTGATCCCATCAAAAAATACATAAAGGATAGAGCCCTGAAATTATTTGCGAAATCTGACAGACGTACCAACACCGCATTATCAAATCTCAAAATGGTTACAGGCTTCTCGGGGAGGTATGCAGATCTGAAGTCAATTATTGCTTAGTCTGATGAAGTGATAAACAATAATCTGGTCAAGGTGTAGAGAGGGGTTTTGAAGAAACCTCGAGTTAAAAAAGAGTATAAGTGCTTAAGTGCACTAGCTCAAAACAGCTTTAACATAATAATAATATATATAAGTTATAATATTTTAATAATACAATACTTAATTATTGAAGTACAATATAGCTTTTACATAAACATTAAAATATATCTTAATTTACTTTATACTTTTAATAATCATATATATTTTATTATAGTTATATAAAGACTCCATCTTATTTTTCAGCTTAATATATGACCTTGACGTCATCAACCTTCTGTTAAGGCATTGGTATTGAATATATTAGAGAAAGATATATTAAAAGAAAGATACCAGACTGCCACGGCGCAGAACTTATGAGTAATTGGACTAAAACCTCGCAAAAAAATTTGAAGCCAACTGCTATAAATTTTATGATTTGACTTAAAGATGTAAAATTTAAATATCCTGAAGTATAAAAAAAAACATACCCAGAACCTTATGTGTGCAGAACTTAGCCAAAGAGTATTGGACTCAACAGTGGTGGTGTTTAAGTGGTGTATTTCATACTTATTACTCCACTGATTTTCGACTTTAGGTGATAAGATAGAAAATTTGTGCCAGTAAAGACTACAATTTTTAAGAAATCCAATAAAATTCGAAATGGCTGAAGAAACTTGTTTGCCATTGGTCACAAAAACCAACTCTGACAAAGCAGTTATCCTGCCGGCAGGACCTGTTAATGTGGATGCAGTTGTCAGTTACCAGAAACAGCAAAATATAGCTCATACGGGTAGCAGTGAAGCTGCCTCTCTAATGACTACAAATTTCAATTTAAATTTAAACACAACCGAGCAGCAAGGACTCAAGCTGCAAGCTAAATTCGTGGACAACAACCTGAAGGACGGGTAAGCTTCCATACAAAATTTGTTTATGCTGCTCTACTATTATTTCAAATATTGACTTACTAGATGAATACGTACATAATATTTAAATAATAATAATAAAATTATTTACTATGATTTTAGAAAAATTATTGATTAATAAATAATTTTTTAGAAATTTAGAGAAACCAGTAAATGTTTTTCTGACACTACTTTTAAATAATTCATTTCGTTTTAAATGCCCTTAAAGGCTTTATACTTTGGTTTTGTTTCCAATTATATTCACGCATTTCACAGAAACTAATTCCATTTCCTAGAACAACTTCCCTTCTGGGATTCAAATAAAATTTGAATTGCAAATACGAGGGAATGCAGTACTCAAGAATACGTAATTCCGTAATTCGATACTTAAGCAATCAGAACGTATATGCATGTATCTTCCACTACATCCCAAACAAATGCTGTTAGATAAACCGGCAGCAATGGTAGTGGGTGGTGACCGACAACTTTGAATTTATCAATAAGCTCTAAAGATGTTTTTATAGTTTTATAGTAATTGTATTTATGTTGGCATTCAACTGAAATCATTTGCATATACACATCTAAACACATAAATCCACACCTATATAAACTACAGTTCAATAACTACAAATTACAAACTCTACTGAGTTTTAAGCAATGGAAAATCATTGGTAATTGGTAGTTTCCTCCTAACAGGGATTAGTGCTCCTGGTGAAATTCTGCTTCCTGAAAGCGAATGCAACGCAATAAAATGAAATCGAAATTTGTGGCAACACCGCTGCTTTCCATCTGCTCCTCCTTCTCGCTTCCACTGGATTCGGATTATTCCAAATATTTCAATAAATTCTCTATTCCATTTTAATGGCAGGCAGGACATATGCTAAGTTCTCTCGTAAATTGGCAGGAATATTGCATTCGCTGCATGCACAGAGAACCTGAACGTGATGTCCTATAAAACTAACAGCAGGAAAGCCAATAAAAGAGGAATTTCAAATGAAATAGTTTTAACACTTTGTGGATAGCAATTTAAAGTGTTTGTATAATTGCAGAGATTGTTTTGTAATGTTATGAAGTATTGTATTAATTTAATTCGTAGGCATTAAAGCAGTACTAGTTCAGTTTAGACATAGCCTATTCTATTAAAAGCTTGTTCCTTTCAAAAATGAACGTAACCGCTATATGGGAAATGTGGCTTTGATTGCATTAGTTGAGTACGCTAAGGATTCTATAGATTCTATATTTTAATTTAATTCGTAGGCATTAAAGCAGTACTAGTTCAGTTCAGACATAGCCTATTTTATTAAAAGCTTGTTCCTTTCAAAAATGAACGTAACCGATATATGGGAAACGTGGCTTTGATTATATTAGTTGGGCACGCTAAGGATTCTATAACACTTAAAATGCTGTTAGGCTGGAGGATTTTCAGGAACTTCCTTGACAATTCTAGTTAAATTTACAAAACTTCGAAAAGTCTTCTATATGCAAGAACATATCCAAAATATTTGTTTTTTTTTTTGCGAATAAATATAAACCATCAACCATCATGGAAAAAACCAAATATTAATTTCAAATTAATTAATGATGTGTTATAGTCATGATACATGTATAGATCGAAAAGTGATATTGAATACACAATTTCATTTAAAAGCAAAAAAATCGTGCAACAACTCCGTTTTTTGTCAATAACAAAGCCAATTTTCTCCCCCCTTATAAGATTTTAATACCCATTAATGAACTGTCAAATAATTTGGGAACACGAAAAAAGTATCTTAATGCCTCTGAATACCAAAACGCTAACCAACAAGAAAACAATCCGATTTGATATGCCTTTAACCACGTACAATAAATTTATCAGCCTTATGAAGTACACTCGGGCGGAAAAAGAAATCTGTTCCAGCCGTCATTGTTGCTGATGAAATTCCCCAACAAAATTGGCACACCTTAATACACACAGCCCGGAATTAAATTTGCAACGAATTGATTTCAGACTTCAGATTTCATTCGTGTGCAGATATGCGTCTTATAGATGGATACACGCGTATCTTCCACCAAACAAGCGTTCCCATTTTCCACAATATTTGCCTATTGCCTCAACGATGTGCAGAGAGTCAGACGCAGTTCTGTGTTGGTGCGTGGGCATATGAGCAATTGGCAGGATAATGGCACGAATCTGTGGCAATAGATACATTGTGTGCAATTTGCTGGCGTGTTATGAGAATCACGCCCACTGACATGCTTAGCTTTTCTAATGCCTAAGTATTATTTGCTGTTTTTGCATTTTCCAAAGACTAAAAAAATGAAATTTTTTTCCTACTTTCATTGCTATTTGGTACAACTTCCACTTCCGTGAAATTATTGTATGCGCAGGCAGAAGAATACTGGTTCAGCTTGACTGAAGCTGCAAATGTATGAATAGTAGCGTTACGTCAGGAATTTTTAGGAGGAGTGTGGGGGTGGAAGTAGTTATGGGATGTATAATAGACCCAGTTCTCTTAAATACTGCATGTACATGTTTGATGCTTACAAGTTCTGTCTTTTTTTCGATCATTAGCGGAAAACCATTTAATACCATAATTGCATCCTTGCAAATTTTGAACACCTACGACCTACAACTTTCCCGTATTCTGCCTCTGCCTCTGCCTCTGCCTATGCCACTTCTGAGGAGGCTTAGAAATTGCGATTCCGTTTTAGTTTGCTGTGCTGTGCACGTCTCATTGTTGCTCAGCATTAGTTACAATTACTATGTGAAGGAAGAGAAGTATACGTGGCCTCATTCAAGGTCCCTGTTTCTGGCCCTGTACTTGTGCTACTCATTGTCGGTAAATGTATCTAAGCATTCGCTATGCATTTATTGTGTATCTTAAGTGTGTCGTACACAATCAATGCGTTCGCATTAATGGTGTCTATGTTGCTTTGGAAGGGTATTCTTTTTTCAAGTTCAGATGGAAGTGCATTAAACGCTGATAATACTAGATGCTTCAACTTGCAGAACTATTAAATTACAAGGTTAATGAAAATCTGTTGATTGAAAAGAAAATGTGACTGAAAAACTGTAAAACAATGAAAAGATAATTACGTTTTGAATTTTTTTGTATCAAAAATGAGAAAAATTGTGTTTTTTAACAATTCGAAAAAAATTATTCACAATAAATAGCAGTAGTTAACCTTGACTTTCAGTAAAAAAATGTAAATACTAAACGCTTCTGCTATTAAATAACAATATAATAACTCGTATATTCGTACGAGTGTACAGGATGCTTTTCCACATATTATTCCTATTTTTTCTCCTTGTTACATTAAAGTTCTTTGTGTGGGCATGGAACGCAAACAAAACTTTTCCTTCGCTTTAGATTTAATCTCACCTGACGGTCCAATTTGCTAATATTCTGTATAAATAGATCGCAGGTCATGAAAAGTCCTCTTCTTCCTTACAAAATCTGTATTCTATCCATCACAATCTTAATCTCTTGGTCTCAATTTTCACAGACTCGCAAGCAGTTAAAGTGAGTAAGTAATTGTTCAACATAATTCTTGTATATGCAACATAGGCGAATATTATTGAATAACTTCCACCCAAAGAGCTCATGCTGAAAAGGTCAAATGTGATACGGTATGATTGCCTTTTTCACTTTACGAAAGGCGGTCATACCTTTTATTAGTACATGTGTCTTTGACACATTAAAATATTAAATATTAAAAATTTCAGAATCCGTTCACTCTAGCTCGGTGTGGCCACCTTTCACCTTAACTGTGGGCTTCAATCGGTTAAAAAATGAGTTGCATACTTCACGAATGTAATATTCCGGTATTTTGAAATATTCCTGAAGAATGACTTTCTTCAGCGCATCCATATTGGCATATTTTTAGTTCAAACCTTTCTCTCCAAAATGGCTCAGATGGAAGAGTCCATTGGACTTGCATCTGGTGAATTCGAAAGCCATTATATGGACGCAATAAAGTGTGGAACATGCTTTTCTAACCATTCTTGACTCGCACGAGCTTTATGAGACGGTGCCGAGTCTTGTTGGAACGTTCATGGTCTACGATCAAAATGTTTGCGTGCCTGCGGCTCTAAAACAACTTCCATAACATTTTGTCGATAATAAGTCGATTGACTTTGACACCAGGCTCGATGAAAACGATTGGAGAGCGTCCATCGGTGGAATGTGATGGAAAATTACTTCGGGTGGCCATTAGTAGTCTCAAATTTCAGGCAGTGCCTTCAGTTAAGTAAACACGATCATTCTGAGAATATTTGAAATGCTCAATGGAGAAATTTTTCTTATCAGAGAACACAATGTGTGAAAATTAGCCACGTTCGTACAAGCGTATCAAAATCCTTTGCTCTTTCCAGTCTTACTTTTTGTTGCTTTCGCGTAGGATCTTGTGCCTTTTGAAACTTGTAAGGCTCTACCTTAAGCTCAGTTTGGAATATGAGTCGAATGCTTCGCTTGAATATTTTCTGTTCTCTGGCCATTAGATCACCACTACGACGTGAATTTCCTTCAAGCCGAGTCTTCACTTTCCGAACTATTTCAGATGATGTTGCTGTTATCTTTCGTTCACCACCATAGCCTTTGGCGGCACTGCGTGTACTATTATAACAATTTATTGTACATTGCTCACGAATAATAGCTAATTGTCATTGCCAGCCAAATACAATGCAATCACACTATTGCATTTGAATTCCATTTCGAATAACTTTTGTTCTATAAAATTTAGACGCAAATAGTTGTGGTAGCTTGTAAACAATATAGACAGCTGTCATTCGTATGAATTTTACGCAGTTGGCAATTTGACAGATATACCTGTGTATAGTTGGTAACACTTCAATCGCATAATCCTGTGTATTAATTAGTATATATTTGCATTTTTCTCGAAAAAATACGTAGTAGTTTAATTCAGAGATCAATAGTAGGATAATGGTCCGCTCCAAATAGAAAATTTTTTCCACAAACAAAAAAAAAATTACAAAAAAATTTAGATGAGATTTTCGTAATCAGTCACTGAAAGGTTTTGAAAAAAGTCAATTTGGTACCATTATTAAATCCAAATGCAAAAACATTAAAATTTAAATTAATGGATATAATCTCCCTCTTTCTTATCCTCATCACCCAATGGAACATAGGGCCTCTTCTATATTAAAGCACTTAAGCTTCTGATTATTCCAATACATAACATTAGAACTACTTTTTGTGAGACATTTACAGTCTCTATTTCTTGTAGTTCTCTTCGTTTTATGCAACAATAAATCACCTCGTGAATTAAATGTAGAAAATAATCAGTACATATATATCCATTGACTAAGCATATACTCACTAAAGCAATGATTGACAATTAAAGAAAAGTTGAAGCCGATATATTTTAATATATCATGAATCGAGCTTTATAAATCAAAATTAATTAAAAGATATTAGTATGTCAACGACCAAATTAGCAAGGAAGAAACTTAATTCATTTTTAAAGTTTTTATTAAAATATTAGGTACACCTTAGTTACATGAATTCGTCCGCCTCACACTTTTTAACGATTAGGTAAACAAAAATAGTGCTTTATTGCAGCAACTTAGTGCAACAAAGAAGCTTTTATATAGCATTATTTCCCGTAGTAGACGCGATTTGCCCATTATTTTATTTTGCACTTTATATTTTTGATATATCTCACTAATAAAAAATGTTTCCCAGCTTCTGTAGGCACTTACTACTTAAAGAGTCAAGTTATAAGTGTCTAATAAAAATGAAAAGATGTTTTCCTAATTACATTATTTGACCTTTGTACTACTTGATCGCATGAAAATATGATTGCGTGCATAATCAAATATATTTAAAAAAATTTTTTCAATTGGCAGAAAATTTCACATAATACTTTACGTATCTTCTAGGTTTTCAACCTTTCGGTTTGAAATACCATGCCACAATTGGCATTTGATCCATGCAACACAGAGACTTGTGAATTTGATTGAAAATATGCAACTTGTACCCAACTAAAATTATGGAAATATATTCGAAATAGAATCTTGAGAGTTATATTTCATTCATTGCCATTCATTGTTCAAAGGGAAACGTCGGGCACTCGGGACGATTTGGATTGCAATGCAATAAATTGAACTTTAGTTTTGAAGTGAAAAAAAATACTCTACTATAGTAAACAGAAATAAATTGAGACCTTTAAAAATTAAAGGGGCGCTGTTTGAAGTGAACATCTCTACTAACTATGAGATGTTTCCGGGCACAGTTGCTGGCCCCAGCTCATCCCATCCCGTTTTATGGAGTTTTAATTATGTTAAAGGTAAAAGAAATATTCACGAGCGATAAATTGTTCTAATGGGAAGTTACAGTTCTTAAATTTTATTCAATTCTGTGGCTTCTTATTATTTTTTATATCTTGAGTGACGCTAGAAAGATTAGTTAGCATCTGTACTTATTTTTTAGAGCTGTTGTGCATTCAAAGTACAAAAGAGCATATATAATTGTCTATACAGACATTATCATAATTGCTGTAATTGTATACTCACTAATTTTAATGGAACCTTTAATAAGCTCACTTAAAATTAATCAAAGCACATAATTTGCAAATGATATAATTGACATTTATAATTATAAATTATTAATCAACTTTTTATTTTTTTGATAGTACATATAATATAGTTTGTGTTTATTGTAATATACATACTCACCGAATTTCTGAAACCCTCTTACACTGAAGCTATCTAATATAAGCACTTCTCTATTAATGAATGGAGTGATGTCCAGATAATCTTCCGTTGTTCAAATAAAATATCTAGAAGATTGGAAAATTGTTTTGATTCTTAAACTATTCTATAATATATATAGTATATATTCTATATATATTCTATATTTAAAAATGTAAGCAAAGTTCTTAATTTTGTTTTATACCAGTATTGATAAGTTCATATATTGATGTCCATGAAATATTTACTATATCTGAAAAACTTTTAGAAAAGGTTATATATTAGAGGTTGTCGGAAAAGTAATAACTTTTGACACTAAATAGTTTCAACTTCATTTAAAAAAAGAAATTTATTAAGTTTTCTTCATATTTGACCATCTTCCCTGCGTAAATATATAAATCAACTTAGGTTGTAAATTGTTACCTTATTTAGTTCTTAGCAGATAAACATATATTTCTTTATGAATGAGATTTTATAAAACTCATTCTAAGATAGAAAAAAATTATTGAACAAAAAAGTCAATGCATCGCTGATTAAGCTTTGAACTCTCTTCTAATAAATGACATTTGAAAAATAGAAAAAATACCTGATGATATTTCCGACAACCGTGCGATATGATAATAATAAATAATTAACGTAAATAAGATTTTTTTATATGGTGTCGTCATCTTCTTATTACATGTATTAATATTAATACGCTATTTAACTTACCTAGCTGGAATTAAAAACAACCAAACTAGATGACCTCTATAAGCGAGCTCTATAACGGAACTTTGATCTCAGTATTTCTTATTAGAGCAGAGAAATGTGCAAGTCCAGTCCCCCAAGTGTTTGTATATTAAACCGCGGGTGCTCAACGCAGGCAATGTCCAAATCAACTTCTGGTTAAAGTTACTAATTGTTAAAATTATAGATGGTTAGAATGAAGTATAAAGAGTTAACATTTGCAGAGATTACATTAAGTTTAAGGGGATACTTGGCCTTACAAAAATTTCATGAAACAATGACTATTGAAAATGTGACTTACATTAATGATAGAGCTCTTCAGCTATTGAGATTACGTTAATATACCGAAACCCAAAAATATGTCTCGTTCAAAAAAACTCAATGCAGAGCACAGAAAAATAAGTTAAACTGTTTTTAGAATAGATATTTTCTGTTTTGGACAGAATTTTTAAAACTTCAACTTTTTTATTATTTTTTCTGACAGTAAATATGTGATATCTACGATCTAAAAATTCAAAAAAAAACTTTAAATAACAAGATTTTATAAATCAAAAAAAAACTATAATAAAAACTTAAAAATAATAAAAACTCTACTTGGCATTTTATATTAGCAAAACAGCTGCACTTTCAAACCAATATTCGCTGGAGAGTTCCGTACATCGAATGTCATGTTGTAATAGAAACCACAGATCCCCACCCATTTGCACTGTTCAGCAAAAAAAATACAAATTTGGTTAAAAATAAAAAGAGTGCAAAAAGGTCAAAAACAATGAATGCAAAACAAAAAGAAAATGAATATTAAAGTACCGGAAATAGGCGAAATGTGTATGAAAAGACACAGAAAATGGGTGTGTGTGAGCGTTTTCAATATTTAATATGTGTAAAACTGAGAAAACCGGGCGACCGAACGTGACAAATGGGGCTGGGTTTACCTTCGCAAAGTACACGCAAATTAACTTCTGACATTTTTTGCAGGTCTCTTTCATCGTTAGCGCCGGCTTGCGAATGTCCCATGCAAACCGAACAAAAATCAATAGAACAGAAATTGACAATGAAGTGAGCCGTAAACGATTATACCAGGAAACATATTTCCTAAATGAACTAACTTCATATTGCGTGAACATATTTCTTGCGAGGCATAAAATTAATTAAATGAAAGTAAATCAATAATAAAATAGTTTTCGAAATTAATATTCTAATCCTTTAAATAAACAAATGAGGCATGCAAGATTGGTTATTAGGAGAACAATAATTGCTTCACAGACTTTCACAGACCTTGACAGAGCTTGTCAATACTAATCAATTTTGGTTTGGAATAAATTAGATTTTTGTGTTCATATTAACGAAAAAATAACATGCTTTTAATTTACATATATACCTACAATATTATATATACATATACTGTATGTAGAATATATCAAAGAGTCGTTAGCGGAAATATATATTCAGCAGGTCATCACTACCGAAAAGCATCAAAACATTGCGCTATATTTTGAAATATCTGCAATGATTAAAACATTGCAATGCAATGATTAAAAATTTATATTTTAAGAAATCATTATATATATTCAGTGCACCTTCAGCAATGTGTACAGTCTGAAATAAATATTTCCTTCAAGATATTCGTGAACGGATTGATGGATTAAGTTCGATTTAAGGACGAGACTGTATCAGAAAAAAGTTTGCTGTTTGCTAATATTTAAATTTACTACGTTAAAATACGTAGTTTCCAGTAGAAACAATCTTGGCATGACTAGAGCAGCCATACACTTCTGTATGTCGGAGCTTTATTGTGAAATAAATTGAACCACAACAAGATCTCTCATAGAAAAATTCGGCCGTACAAGTACAGTAAGGCGTTTCTTCGCAGTAGGAAAGATGTAAGTTGTTGGCAGATCATGTTGTTTTGACAGTAGGTGAAAGCATCGAAAGCCACCGTGTAAGACTTGAACCCACTAATGAAAGAATGGAGAAGATTTTCACAGCATTGTCAAAACTTCATTCCAGTAATCAGGGAAGAGAGAAAAAGATAGACTTAGTACCTAGCGAGCTAGATTCATTTAAGCCAGAAAGCAAAACCGGGTTATAGAGAAGAAGGTGGGGCTAGAGCTGATGCTCGGTGTGAGGTTAGCGTTAAACTTTGTAACTGGGGTTACGAAAGCCACGAAAGTTATATAGTGAAATGGAATGGAGGTTACGGTCCCACTCATTGAGATAGTGGAACAGGTATTGAGGAGGAGTTGCTATACATATGTTTTGTTCCTGCCTAGTAAAAGCGCAATATTGATTGCACATACTAGAAACGTGGTTTTACGAGGAGTTTCAGCTATTACATTACCCTCTCTTGAAAAGTTACTTAGTCTTCGAATTTTATACCAGAACATAATGGCCAGATTAAACTTTGTTCACAAACCCAAACTTTAGAAAATTTATATTAGGTTAATTTAATGTAACCTATATTATCTACTTTTCATAATTTCAAATTTAGATCTAAGTCCTTTCTTTGACTTATCATGAAATCCATACGTAATCCAACTGCCCCGACACATTTCGTTAGATATTCAATTATAAAATTAGAATCCTGCAATTGAGAACAGTAAAATATTTAAATCAATAATGACATTTCGTACATCTCTTATTGAACTGCATCCGTAAATACAAAAAAAAAGAGACCATTTTCCAAATACTCGAAAATCTGCATCATTTTCAATACTCATTTTCTCAATAAACAAAAATCCATCGCTTATTAAAACAGAAATTTTCTTGAAATTGATAAAATACTATAAAATTTATGCTTACATCGGAGAAATATACGGATCAGCCACCTTTTCCAAACTTAATCTAAGTCCTTTAAACTTCCAAAAGGTGAAACTACTATTTTTATCATTCTATATTGTGTTAAAAAAAATTAAAATAAAATAACTGCAAACCCTATTTTTGTCCCTTGCGGTTTGGTTCATCCTACTCATTCTCATATATGTAAAACTGAAACAAATCTGTCCAGCCGTGGGCGATTCCCAACATCCACACACATGCGGGAGTACAAAATATAAAACAATCAATTAATTAATGTCACTTTCAATTATGCTCAATTGGAAATTTAATACTGCATCAAATGGTATAATTAAATCCACTTTATTTGTAATGCAAACGGGTCGGAATCCTTGAAGGTGTCCGATTGATGTGGGCGACCAACATATGTCGCTGTGTGTGAACCTCTCGCTCTATTTATGGTGCTGGAAAAGCTGTGTAGTGACAAATAGTCACAACTGTAGCCCACAGAAAATGTACCGTCATTGGCCTGAAGAGCAAAAACCTACTAAAACTATCTACCACTTACTTTTACTTTTTCCACTACTTTATTGACTTTTGTTTTGTAAGTAAATAGTACACAAAAAAAATGGGCCAACTTCCGACTTGTTGGGCACATAAATTGCAACTCGGTCATGTCACAACAAATCGTCGGATTGTGCACATAGTCCGTCGTCATGCAATGAAGTGGCATACTCAAAACCAATATCCAATAGTCAAATAGTATTTACTATATTGGGACCTCAGCCAAGTCACAACAGTTAAATGTTCACCCTAGACAATACTACTCGTATCACAACAGTAGGAAGCGAACGGCAGACACACAGTCACAGTTACAGTTGCAGTCACACAGTCACACAGTCACACAGTCACTCTTGCATCGCACATACGAGTTAATTTGTATGGAAAACGGTGTGCGAACTGCCCACATGCCTTCTCATACGCTTCATTGATTGTTTCATTTATTCGCTTTTTATTCACTCCACTACACACGAATATATTCACAACATTATCCTTCCGTGGTGGCATTTTCAGTTCGTTTTGGGGCAGGCCACGGCACTATTTAATGCCAGCAGAAGAAACCTGCAACCAGGCCGCCAAGCACAATAAACAGTCACAGCCAACCCGCCAGCCAAAGCCCCATAGAAGCAATAGCGCAAGGAAGCGGCAGTGAGGTAAGAAGGCTGCCAATTAGGTACGTTAAGCACTAAGCCACATAAGCATATGAAAGCAAACGAGTCAGTCACACAACCTAAACTAAAAAGGCTAAAAGGACTAAAAGGACTAAAAGAACTAAAAGAAGTAAAAGTGTAACTAAAAAGCAAGGCAAGGCAAAAATATAGAAAAAATCGAAAATGCCAGCGATTGTGTGGCATCGATGTTGAAGCAGCGAAAAACCGTTTTTTAGTCTTCGTCGGTATGGCACAACGTGCATTATTCCTGCTTAACCACTGCAGTCGAAGTCGAACGGTGCCAGCAGCTGCCTTGCTGCCTAGCTGCCTTTAGAAATTATCCAACGAACACAACAAAAGTTCTTGTATTTCATTAAAATTATTGTGTAATTATTGTGCAATAAATGTGTAAAATTTCTACACAAATGTGTATTGAATTCAAATGAAATCATTTATTTAAACGTATATTTACGTATATTTATGAGAATTTTTAAATAAATGCAACAACAAAATAAATAAATAAAAATCCTAAAAGTTCGAAAAGTTTGAAAAGTTCTTAAAATATAAAAATATTTACGTTCATACATTTTTTTTTCTTTATTTTATAAACAACAGCGTTAAAATTACATAACAAAAATAAATTTATTGTTGTTGTTGTTGTTGTTGTTATTATAGTGAGTGTTAGTGTTGGTGTTAGTGTTTTTAGCCGGCGGTAATTGATGATTCGCCTTTTTTTTTGAGTTGTTATTATTGTTGTTGTTGTTTTTGTTTTAGTTGTATTGTTGTTAACTTGTTTTGTTAAATAATTGGCGTGCTTTAAGCAACAAAACCAACAACAAAAAAAATTAAATTAAAACGTCACAACCGCGTTTCCGATTCGCCTTTTCATTTGAACTTTCGCATTGTTCGTACGTTTTTCTTGACTTCCAGCATAAATGTGCGCCATTTTTTAACATTTCTGCGGGCTTTGCTGACTTTGCCGACTTTGCCGATTTTGCCGATTTTGCCGAGTGCCATTTTGCATTTTGGTGGACACTATTGCATGTGGCATTTATTTGCAATTCAGCGAATAAAATATATTCAGCATTTGTGAGTGCGAAAATGCGTCGTCATGCTGCTGCAGGGCATTTCAGTTTGAATTCATTTAAGAAGTGTGTGTGTATGTGTGTGTGTGTTTTTTATGGCAAAAATTTGAGCGCTGGTATTCGTGATCTAGCATAATTGTATTCTGTCTGTGTGTAATTGTGTATTTGTTTGTGGTTTTTGTGCATTTGTGCTTTTTATGAATGAACGAACTATGCAAGCCACACAAAAGGCATTGGCGCTCATAAAAGTTAAAAGGATATTAAAATTTATTTTAATATTCTCTTGTTACAAATAATTAATTAAAATATTATTATTTTTATTATTAAATTCATTTTATAAT